ACATGCACTCCAATGCCATGTTGCTTCTGCTTTCTCATTGCAATTTACTAGCATCAGAGGTCTCCGTTTTGTATATTCCTGTTAAGTAATTCTCCATGATCTGCAGATTTACACCTTCAATGGACAACACGTAGTTGATGCCCAAAAAATTGGTAAGTCAAAATTTACGATGATATATGTAGCCTTGTTTGAAGGCATCTATCTAATAAGATTATTCTTATTGCGCAGACTGTGGTGCCAAGTGTGCGTACCGCTGCAGCAAGTCAAGTAGGCCGAATTTGTGCAACAGGGCGTGCAACACATGCTGTAGCCGCTGTAACTGCGTTCCACCGGGCACCGACGGCAACAGGGACGTCTGTCCTTGCTATGCTAACATGAAAACCCATGGCGGTCGTCCCAAGTGCCCGTAGAAGACATGCTATCTATCATGCTTTAGTTACATTGACTTTCCAGTCTTGCTATGAGATTGTCTTTTATCTTAACAATTGACAATAAATGAAATGGTGTTACGGAGCATCTGTGTTCTTGAGAAACAGTTTATACAGCACTCCTGTGCTAATGATACGAGCTTTTGCTGTTTGTGTTTTGGATACTGGAATTAATAAATGCTAGGTGAAGTCACAGTCGTAAAGTGAAAGCCAGTGCATAGTTGGGTATTAGCATGCATGGAACTAAATGACTATGTAATAATGCTGTAATAAATTATTCGATACATTCTCGACGACAGATTAGCGTTAACGTGCTGTGTAAACTTTTCTTCATGAACACAAATGCTGCATTGCTGAAAGATCAATGGAGATGTTGAAACAGCGAACAACATATCAAAACCTTTAGAAAGTGTCGGATGAGTCAAGGTTTTTACTGAAATCATTTTAGATCAATTTAAAATGATATATGGTTAAAATTGAAGTCAGTTAAAATTGAGCCTATTAAAAGATCAAATAGGTGACCTAAAGCAATTATGGATAGTAGTAGGCTCAAATGGTGATATTGCTTGAGTCAACTGATAAGCAATATTTGTATTTCATTAATTTTTGCTTAAGGCAGAAGATAAAATGTGTTTGAGATGCATATGAGTTAAAAAAACCTGATCCGTGTGAAGAAAAATATGTCATGATAAAGGTACAAAACCAAATGTACTGGAGATGCATATCGAGAAAATCTAACTCATGTAAAGAAAAATTTATCACAACGGAGACACAAAACAAAATGTGTCCGAGACATGTGAATTAGAAAAGTTTAACCCGCATAAAGAGATGTAGATGAATTAGAGTAGGTGAAGATTTCTCAAAGATGTATAACGATCTATCTAATGATCTTCTTGTATCAAAAACACATATAGTGAGTGGAGACTCAAAAATCTACACCAATCATCCACGTGTGAGTTTCTTGTTCTATAAACGAAACCTATGTTTTATCCAACCTTCTCCCATTTTGTTTTTCTTATTATTTTTTGTCTTGCATCATAAGTTAGGATTAGAATTTATTTATTTAAATCTTGACACGTGTGGGACCATCCCAACAATAACATCTCTGCTAGGAAAAATCACATGCAACATATTCCAAGATTTCCCTTTTCCCATCCAAGTTTATTATGTATAAATATATTAATATATTACCAAAAAGGAAACAGCAAGTCTACAACTGAACCTGCTCTATGGTGTGAGAAAAGATGCGACGACACCGTTCAAGTAGAAGCTCAGCAGCAACAGAATAGCTTCGGACTCGATGGAGAATACTTTTCTACTCATGTCGACCCAACTTCTGCTGCGCGATGCTTAGCCACACCTTACAAATCCTAATGGATAAACACTTGAACATAGGACTTATTCCTCTCTCTGTATCTTTTTGTTATACATACTTGACCCGTAAAAAGGGAACCACAGAAGCCAGCGATTGGGAACAGATCACAATGTCATTTCACACAAAATATAAATAGAGTTTCCTCTCTCCCACAACTTTGGATTTCATCTAACCATGTCAAACAAACATTTGCATGGTGTTGTCTAATTTCAGGTTGACAACATTATTGAGAAAAAAACGAAAAAAAAAAAAAAAGTTCAGAACACTTTCCTGTGACATTAACCGTCAGTCCCAAATATGTGAGCATCATCTGCTAATCAACTAGTCTTTGTGTATATATGAGAAAGTGCTCGCCAACCTATATCCCGTCGAAAGAACCCCTCAGGCCAGTCGATTACTTCAGATGCTTTGTAAGCTTTATCTCTGGCTTCTGCTAAATCCTTTCCTTTTGCAGTGACGCCAAGCACACGCCCACCGTAGGCAATGAAGTTGCCCTCTGAGTCTAGTGCTGTTCCTGCATGAAATATCTTAACCATTGGGCCAATAAGCTCAGCCTCTTCAAGATTTTTAATGATGGTTCCCTTCTCATAAGACCCTGGATAACCATTGCTTGCCATCACAATTACCATAGCTGATCCAGGTGACCAACTAAGTGACACCCCACCCAGCTCTCCTCGACAAGCAGCAAGCAGTACTTGTGCCAGGTCGGACTCCAAACGCATCATGAGAACCTATCCAAGAAATTCCATCAAGGAGGCTTTTAGTAATTTAAGAATATCCAAGTAGATTTAAAGAATGTCACTAACACGATTTTGCTGTAGTAAAACACCATTAGTGAGGAAGAGGCTGGAATCTAACTTCTACATCAACAACTAATTCAATCTAAAAACATATAAATGCAATATCAGCTAGAAAAGCTCACCGGAACAAAATGAAAAAAAAAATTGAAGAGACTTATTCATTTTAGGAATCTATATAATATCCCAATTACTACTCATAATTAAGCTTGGGAACATCAAGTTTTATAGTGCACAAAAATTGAATCTAATTGATACGAACGATTTTGCCCCATGCCAGCTCATCTGTCATCGAGACCGACACCTAAATAGGGCTCTAAGTCACCAGCCCCGAAATAGCGCCACAATGTGTCCCGATGTGCCCCGCATCAATGACTGTCAATAACCACCCTACCTTATCAAGATCAGAGATCAAAATGATCAGGCGGTTAACCTAATCCTATCCCAGGCTATGTGCTCCCTAGCTATGCACATCGACATGGAGATCCGAGGGCTACACCTAGGCTGAGCCTACGAGTTCCCTAGCCGTGCACCTCGGCGAGAAGCCCCAAGGGCTGCACCTAGGCTGAGCCTACGCGCTCTCTAGCCGTGCACCTCAGCGAGAAGCCCCGAAGGCTATACCTAGGTCGAGCCTACGCACTCCCTAGCCGTGCACCTCAGTATAAAGACCCAAGGGTGGCACCTCGGATAAGTAAAAGTTAAAAAGGACTCACTCCCGAGCCATGCACCTCGGCGTGAAACCCCGAGGGCTACACCTAGACCGAGCCTATGTGCTCCCTAGCCGTGCATCTCGGCATGAAGACCCGAGGGCTACACTTAGGTTGAGCCTACAGGCTTCCTAGTCATGCACCTCGGCATGAAGACCCGAAACCTGCACATCGAATGAGTAAGAGTTAAAAAAGACTCGCTCTCGAGCCATGCACCTCGACGTGAAGTCTCGAGGGCTACACCTAGGCCGAGCCTACGCACTCCCTAGTTGTGCACTTCGACATGAAGACCCAAGGGATGCACCTAGGCCGAGCTTACATGCTCCCTAGTCGTGCACTCAGCATGAAGACCCTAGGACCGTACCACGGTCCTATCGATGCGATCTCGACACGGCAGCCAACAGACTTCCATCAAAGCACGCACCCAACAGAAGAGCATGCAAATGCGCCCTCCGGAGAAAGGCCCTGAAGGACGCCCTTTCAAGGGGGGGCAAATGATAAGGATGATTTTGCCCCATGCCAGCTCATTTGCCATCGAGGCCAACACCTAAGCAGGACTCCAAGTCACCAGCCCCGAAAAAGCACCGTAGTGCATCCCAATATGCCCTGCATAAATGATTGACAATAATCGCCCAACCTTCTCAAGATCAGAGACCAGAATAATCATGCGGTTAACGTGATCTTATCCTACGACAGCCAGTAAAAAAGCCCAGGGATCAGGTATAAAAAGGAATCCATTAACTCACGCTGAGGGAGAGGCTCTCTCGCTCTCTACTCTCTCATTTACACAGATGATATTGTTGTCTTCTCCCCTTCGTTAACTTAAGCATCGGAGGGGTCGCACTGGGCAATCCCCGGCGCCGGCCTGTTATGCAGGATAGCCAGCCGCCCAAGGACACCTGGACGACCCAGCCCCAAGGAGGAACCTTGCAACTAGAAAGATCCCACTCCGCCTACCCAACCACCCCGAACCGGGTCCTCACCAATAGAATGACTTCCAACCGAGCAGCCTATACGATATCACCTCACCAAGTCTTCCACATCAGCCAGGAAGAGGCACCTGGATGAGTCTGCACCTTCGGCAGTGGACCAACCGTGCAGACTCATCAGTCGACGGTACTCAAGACACCATCACTAATAAATCACAATCAAAACATTTGTAGATACTTAAATAACATATTTAACAAATTGTAATCTTTGGAAGACATCAGACTAGAACAATATAACTAAAACTTCGGTTTTAGAAAAATCTTTCGTATGATAAGAACGGAACTTGAAAGACTTAACTTGAAAGCATATTCTTGAAGTTGCGCAGCAAAGGTAATAAGGAACTAAAGCATGTAAGAAGGTTTGCAGTAATGTAAACAGCAATAATGAAATGCAAACCAGAGATTACACCGATTTTAGAGTGGTTCGGTCAAATGACCTACATCCACTTGCGAGGCCCCTCTTCGATGAGGCTCCCACCTTCCACTAGCAAATCTCTTGAAATGGAAGGGTCAATACCCCTCTTACAACCTTTTGCAAACAACTCAACCTCTTACAAATTTTCAATAAGAAAGAAGGAGGAGAACTCTCTAGCAAATTGAAAACAAGACTTGCTAAGACTTTCTAAGACTTTTCTCTCCATCAAAATGCTTCTCAAAAGTTGTAACCTCAACTGAGATTTGAGGGGTATTTATAGGCCTCAAGAGGATTCAAATTTTGGGCTCCAAAATTTGAATTCTCTTTGGGTTCCCGATACTGGCGGTGCCACCGCCCAGCCAAGCTGTGCCACCGCCCAACGTTCGGGTGCTGGGAGGTGCAACCGCCCAGCCCAAGAGGTGTCAACGCCCAGCTCTCAGGTGTTGGGCGGTGCTACGGCCCAGCCAGGCGGTGCCACCGCCTGGCTCTCCGATTTCACTGGTTTGGCTTAATTTTAGCCCAAACCATATCTGACTTTGGGCCCAGTTGGCCCCTAACCAGGATATAGGATTATCTCTTAATCCTAATCCTAATTACAAGTGAACTACATAACAAAAACACATCCTAAGCAAGCTTTCAACTGCGAACGTCG